CGATATATAGTTTGTCATGATTAGATTAGAATTTAGTTGCAGTGTAATGTAAGCAGAAGCGCTCCCTCTGGCAGACTGTACAATTTGCCATATAATGCATTGGTTCTAAGTCAAATTGTTTAATGATATCATCACATAGTAGGTATATAACTTGGGCAAATAAAAAAAAAAATCATAATCTGTTTTATAAGCTCATTTATTACTCCTTAAATCCACAATTGACCATATATGGATTGGTCGTGAATATTAATGAGCTACTGAGCGCGCACAGCATGATGAATGCTGAACACGGACAATACAAACCCCTCAGGTTAACAATGACCTGTTTTGCTAACGAGATCTGTTGTGCATAAAGGCTAATGTATAATTAGACTTGATAAAAGAGACAGATAGAGAAGTGGTGTGTTGTATTTTAAAGCTATAATGTCAAAGGAAACAGCCAAGAGGAAATATCAGGCTCTTCACGCGATTCAGCAGTCACGTGTTTGTTCAAACATACGCTTCAGACTGCACAATAAACACAGTATATTACCAAAACAAACAGTTAAACATACCTTGCGCCTGTTTAGAGTGGAGATTAATTAGTTTATTCTCTCTTAATCCTGCATTTAGCGTCCTGACGAGTCCTAGTACACAATCTGAGCCTTTCAAAATAAAAGTCCCACATTCACTGTAGGTTAAAAATAACTAAGGGAGGAGAATGATCATTGTTGTCTCACTGGGAGACATTGTGGCTCACCAAACACAGCCTGAGGCATCCATATAATAATCCCAGTGCTGCGTATGAGACAGTGTTATGGATGCTGATCTCCTGATGATGCCGCTGCTTATCAGGTCCTAAAGTACATGCAAATGATGAGGGCGTGGCCTGTAGATCGCGTAACAGTCTGTTTTGTGTTCTGATTAGCCTTGGGCAGGGATCACCAAACTTGTTCCTGGAGGTCCGGTGTCCTGCAGATTTTAGCTTCAACCCTAATCTAACACACCTGAACCAGCTAATCAATGTGTTACTAGGTAGACTTGAAATATCCAGGCAGGTGTGTTGAGGTAAGATGGAGTTAAACCCTGCTCGGACACCGGCCCTAAAGGAAACAGAGATTGATTGGGGTTTTACTCTTGTGGAATTTACATGAGGAGGAGGAAACTATTGTGTGTGAGGCTCACGGTACGGCCGTTTCCATACACTGACCTCTTGTTATCCGACTATGTCTAGATATATACCCAGATTGTCTTTATGGGGCACTGTGAAAACACAGATATGAGAGACAGCAGGTGTGCAGAAACATTTCCAGGCCTTTATTTGTTGAGCTGCGACACACATAAATAATCAGCAGAAGTACAGTACGCTATACCGTCCGTCTCCAGAACATGTGGAAAACAAACACTGCGCTCAGAGCTACAGTTACACTGCAGATCCACAGTCAGAAACACACGAGCAGACACACATGAGGAGGAGGAGGAGGAGGAGGAGTCTTCATCACCAACATCATCATCATATTCAATCATTTCATTTTCATCATCGTTATAATATTCAATATCTTCATCATCCTCTTCATCATCATTATAAACACAAGATCTTCATCATTTTAAGTGTAATATTCAACATCTTCATCATTTTAATAAACCCCAAAAATGTTAAAATGAGCTGAAACAACACAATTCTTGAGGAGTTTTTTTCTTGCGACAACCTGTTTTAAGTTCAGTTCACTTACTTTTGTGAAAACGTAATTCCTTTATGCTGTCTCAACGCAAATCGATCATGTGGAACGCAGCATTTTATAGCGCATTCGCTGTCTTCATCATCATCATAAAGACAATATTCAGTATAATCTTCATCCTCATTATAAACATGATATCCAATACAGTCATTATCACTATAATCAGTGTTGGGTCAGTTCCGTCTGATTGGTTATTAATTAATCATTTCATCATTATAACTTTTCCCAGAGATGGGTTGCGGCTGGAAGGGCATCCGCTGTGTAAAAATGTGCTGGATAAGTTGGTGGTTCATTCCGCTGTGGTGACCCCGGATTAATAAAGGGACTAAGCCGACAAGAAAATGAATGAATGATTAGGTTAGTGCTATTCAACAAGCTTTATTACAATACTTTTGGCACTGATTTTGTTCCATAGATTCCAGGGTTGACAGAGATCAGTTTATACACAACTCTGTAAATAATGACATGAGTTATGTTCTCCATCATGAGTGTATATGAGCAGTATCACACGAGTAGCAGTGCAATATGGCTGTATATCGGCACTAGTGGGAGGCGTGAGTTGGCACAAGGCCACAGGCCCAACAGTGCCTATATACAGTCATATCGCACTGCTACTCATGTGATATTGCGTTTATACAACCGTTTGACGGCATAATTGTGTATATAAAAACAAAATCAAACATGGAGAGTCTCAAAAACCCTTTTGTATGAGGAACTACTTTCTTCCGTGTTGGATTCAGATCATAGGCTGACAGTTAAACAGCTGAGCGTGCATCTTTTACACTGTAGATCTGCAGTGTCTGCTTTCTGCTGGCTGTGTGTGTGTGGAGTAATACACAAAGGGTAAAGAGGCTGTACGGGTGCTGATATTACTTAAATATATCACAGCTATCAGCCAATCAGATTCGAGAACCAGACAGAACTGTTGTATATATATATATATTGCTCTGCGTCTCTGAACTGACTAGTAAAAAAACACTCAGTCATTCTCCTTCAGCTTAGTCCCTTACTCATCAGGGGTCGCCACAGCTGAATCAACCACCAACTATTCCAGCATATGTTTTACACAGCAGATGCCCTTCCAGCTGCAACCTATCACTGGAAAACACCCATACACACTCATTCACACATACACTACGGACAATTTTAGCTTACCCAATTCATCCATACCATATGTCCTCGGACTAATGTAATCCGAAGCAGCTGGAGGAAACCCAAGCAAACACGGGGAGAACATGCAAACTCCACACAGAAATGTCAACATGCCGAAGCTCGAACTTGCTGTGAGGCGATTGTGCTACCCACTGCGTCACCTTATTGTGTATATATATATATATATAATAAAACAATAAAACAATAAAATACATAACCAAATAAACAATACATTTTTAAAATAATATAAAATAATATAAAAATTTGA